TAGTATGTATGCTGGATATATGTATGTACATACATATATGTATTTTTCGGTGATATATTGACATATGTATTTTCTATATGAAAAGTTTATTAAAACTTCCAAACCTACACCAAATCGGTTACTAATCGCAGAAATAAAACAACGCAAAGCAGACATCCTAATGGTGAACGAATTCCGGACAACAAAACTTTGTGCCGAGTGTTACAACATAAACTTGACGTCCACTTCGCCCCACAGGTACCAATTTTGCCCAAAATGTGGTACATGTTGAAATCGAGACGTCAATGCTGGGAAAAACATACTCTACCTGGGAGAATGTATCATCAATCAAGGCGAAAAACACCTCAATTTTTCAAAATAAGATGTCATTATTTCATATATGGCGAAAAATATGTACATCTGACTGGGAAAACAGTTTAACTTTATTACTTAAGATTATGTGAGATGTGCTAAAAAACTAATTTTTTTTATGTATTTTTGCTCGTTATATCGAAATTTCGGCTTCGGCAAGGCATGGAGCCATAATGGAGAACATAATACACAAGTACATATCCGATATTTTACATGCATTTCTTTCGCTGATCCTATGTCTATTGACAGTTCATTAAGAGATCATTATTTTCGACCACTGAATAAAAATAATACTAACAGACTTCTGGCAGATGTACACTTTAATTTTCTCGATTTTTAAATGTTGGTTGCATATCCGTATTGAATTTCCGATATTGCATCGTTGCAGCAACTGCCATAGAATTTGGAGCCACTGGTAATGATTTGTGCCAAAAGAATGCTGGTGTAGCAATGCCATGCTGACCTTGAATTTGATGTTGAGGTAATATTCCAGTGGCAGTATATATTGCTACATTTAGGGGTTCTTGTTTAAGTTCTTTCATACTTTTTTCTTTTTTGATGTTGTCAGAATCGTCATTGTAAGTATTCGATAAAACGGCGTTCAAATTTTGCACCTTTGTTCGACAATACATTTGGCAAGTAGCTATTATATCCTTGTGGCGTCTCTTAATATGACTCAAAAAGTTTCCTGTAGATTTCGTTGTGCCAGATATTGTGCCCAAACAAGTGGTGCATGTCGCTTGAATTCCACCCACAGTTTTAAGATTTGGTTGCACATCTCTGTAAAACTTTCCATCAAGTATCTTCGGCAACGTTAACGTTTCTTTAACTAAAAAAACACAGGAAAAAACACAGAAATATTAATAAATATGTATCAACATTTGTTTGCATTAGCAAACTTGAGTTCGGTTTTGATATACACATACAAAATAAAAACTTCAAATATTCCGAAATTTTATTTTGATATTTTGGAAATTAATTTAAAATTTTCTAGGCGTAAATAGCTTACAAGTTAATTTGCTGTGCTTTATTCTAATTCGCTATTGCACTTAATTTTTACAGAAAAAAAATTAATATTAGGCTTTTGATATCGAAGAATTTCCTACTTTAGATCGCTTAGTAATGACACCATTCGTAACAAGCTGCCCTTTGATTCGTCAATAAAATCAGGTGATATATCAACGAGATTGTCCGTTTTCATCTCAGGATCATGTGTATGGGGCGAACCAGTAACACGTATGGCCGACACATCGTCGTGTAATTTCGACGTTACAACGGTGGCCCTGCAGCCATACTTTACATATCGTGAACAGCGCCAAAATATGTTTTTGTGACTCTGACGATTTTCTACATAGCGATAACCGTTGTAGATAAGCATAACACGTCCGCGCTGGGTGGTAGAGTATTGTAAATATGTAGTTGTATTTTTATCCTCTAAAATAAATTTTAAATCTGAAAAGATATGGTAATAAAAGTATTAAATAATAATAGTATAATGGTAGTAGTTCAATATGTATATTTAGGATCGAGAATTAATTAGATGATTTGTGGTATTACATATTTTATTACTTTTTTATTTAATATTGAAAATTGCAACACGTAGTTATAAATGGAAATTTTTTAACTTAAATGACTGTTGACTGTGTTCAAATGTCCATTTAGTTTTGTAATATTAACGACTTGAGGCTGATGATGCCACATTCGACATGCTCCTGATCTTATGTTGTATGAACGATAGCACTGTATTCTCATCTATGCATTCCCCTCTCATTGAAAATACCTGTACGACGTGAGCTATTACAAATGAAAATAATTATAGTGTTATATTTTATCAACTTAATTTGCAAGTGTTATGTGAAATTACTTATGATCGACTTGAGTAAGCTCTCATCGAGCATCAGCAGTCGTTGTTTTGCATTTGAACGCGCTATATTCTCCAAAACATCAAATCCAAATACCAATTCACTTAAACGCGAAGTGTAGATACAAGCGTTGGGTATAAATATTTTAGCCAAATCATACTTAGATACATAAACCTTACTGCCAGCATGTAGGGGGATTTTTGCGACCGATGACTTGGAAGACTTGGTCTTTTGGTTATTATTAGTCCGTGCCTTCAGGTTTTCTGCAAAACAATGAAGCTAATGAAATTTCTGGTAAAATTAGTGAGTATACCGCCTTAAACTAAAAGTGATAAAAAAGTATGAAAGTCCTAAGAGGCAAAGATACAATTTATTTGGTTAAACTTAGGTCTATACATTTAATTACAATACAGTTTCTACAATCTAACTTCATTTATAACACAATATTTTAGTAATCACATTTGGCAATTGCCTTCCACTTAGACCACGCTTTATATTGTATGTACATATGTAGGTTTGAATGAAAGTCCATTACATTAATTTGCGCTAAGTGTCACTTATCACACTTTTTATTTCACTAGTCCAACATTCGACAACATTTCCGGAAATGTTTACCTAAAAACACAAATAAAATGGCTTTAGTTAACAAAAAAGGAAAAACAAAGCACAAAAACTTCACATTTTAGATGAATTATAATCTTTGTTGTCGTCTAAACCAAAGTTCCCATAAACATATCGATGATCGATATACTCGGTTTAAGAAATGAATGATTGTTGCGCTCAAGTCTGAGATGATAGTTTACCGGCCGTCTTCACGCGCTGGCAAGCTGTAGGGGTTGGATTTTGCTGAAATTTATACATTTATCCACCAAAATCGTTTGATAAAGTGATAAAATTTGGTTAAATAGATTCCCCTATAAAGTTTGGCAGTTCATTTATTTAAATGAAAAAATTTATCACTCTATCAAGCTCATCAAGGGCTTATCACTTAAATGAAGACCCCTAATAGAGTTTAGAATTTGTAAAGATTGGTACAGTTTAAGCAACCCTGCGAATCAAATTGAAACCTTGGCAACTCTACATGGCGGCGATGCTTCAATTCTTTTTTTTTTTATTGTAAGTGGATTAGAAAATTTTATGTGCTTTAATAAGAGGTAGAAATTAATTTGTTAATAAGAACATTGGCTAAGTTTTAATATACTATTTACTTGTGAAAAATTCAAAGTGATATGAAAGGGTTGGATAATAACGGGCCAAATGTGAACGTTTGCGCGAACTTTGTTGCTAAAGGGTTCTTATAGGCAACAAATTATATTTAAGTCGATGCGTTAGGTACAAGAAAAAGGAAGTTAATAAATGTTTGCTTTTTAATCTTGTATTTATGTTAAAATATCCTAAAGCGAGCTAAGACAATATCGAAATAAATTAACGTTCTGAAACCTAAATTTAATGTGTTTAGTTATACTTATGTGTGAATTATGTTATTGTGTCACTATGTTTTAATTTAATATTAAAACAGAAAAACTATTATCCTTTTCAGAATATGGATCACGTTCTGCCGGTGGTGTTCTATTTTGCGTGGAAACGGGCAGATTATACCAGCGGAAACCAAAATATGAAGATCTCGACGTTTGCTTCACCCGTAGTGTACGCGGCAACAACTTGCTAACCATTAACGGCAAACCATATACATTAAATCGACGTATAAAAGATGTGTGTTATTGGGAATGTGTGAAACTGCGTTGCAAGTACACCAAATGCACAGCACGCGTTATCACAAAATATGATCAGATTGCGTCGTTGCGTGGCGATCACAACCACTTATAAAATTATAATAAAATATGCTCACTCAAATAAATACGAACATAGATTAAATGAATGTATGTACATATAAGCTTAAATCATTATCATAAAGTGTTTTGTAAAGGTTTTTCGTAATTTGCTTCCAGCAGCACCTTTGTTTGTATGGCTCACTAATAAAATTAAATCTATAGGTACAAATGCGTCTTGGATCGAAGCGGAATTTAATTTCAAACGCAACAGGCGAGGAGGACTTAATCTTCTTTATCATGGTTACATGTATACTGCTGAACGAAGGTATAACTCTACCATAAACTGGGTATGCAGTAAAAACAGTAGCCATGTACTGCGCTGTCCGGCACGCTGTGTGACCGCGGGTCAGAGCTGCATTAAACTAAGTCGTAGGTCTCATAATCATTCACCAATTCATTGAAGGGTTGAAGGTAGGCTCCTCGAAGACACAAATTGATTATTTTTATGTACAAAGAGAATTTAAAAATATTTTTAAATATACTGCATACATATGTATGTAAAAATGTATGTATATTGTCCAAAGCATACATTTTTCTGTATTTAACTTTAAACTATTTTATTTTCTAAACTACTTAACACGTTATTAAAATTTCCCTTTTTTATATTCAATTTGTTTTTTTTTTTTTTTACAGTGCAGCAATGTCCGGATTCTATTGGCAAATATACAATAATAGAAAATTTCCGCTTTGTGATTGGATCACAATCGGCTAGTAAATACTACCTCAAGTGCGCCAATTTTCGGCAAAAATGTCGCGCCCGTGCAGTTCTTCTTAAGGATACAATGAGTTTGAGATTACGGCACGATAATCATAACCATACAGCAGATCAGCAATGTTTTCCATCTAAGAAAGGCACCACCCCACGGCACATAATTTAAGTGTATACATATGTATGTGATTTCTGTACGTCTTCTAACTCAAATCAAATGCAATAAATTCATAATTTTCATAAAAATCTATAATTTTCCAGCTTCCCATTATTCGTGCAGTTAATGTGGATTTTTGTTTCTTTCTTTACTAATGTGTTATTTTTTATATTTCCAGCCGCAAAAGCACCTGTGCAGTACGTACGATCACGTCGTGGCACTCATTTAGTGCTACACGAATACAACACTTACACCCCCAATGAAAAGGTACGAGATGGTCGCCACTCGCGAGACTGGAAGTGTTCTATGTATCATAAAGCAAAATGTCGCGCAAGACTTGTTACGCGACATACTTCTAAGGGAGATGTGATCCATATAACCTCAGATAACCACACACACAAACCAATGTATACAGCTGAAGACTTGAAACTGATGCAGTCATTGCAGACGCCAATGAATGAAGAAACTGAATCATTAATGGAGCGGCATCGACCTGCACAATCATTGCAGTGTCTTCATCCACTCCACCTACAACAATTTCAACAGCTACAGCTACAAACACTTTATCCGCAGTCTGCAGCTGAACCTATTTTTCAGCCGCAATTTAATAAATTCTTTCCTCGCCCGTTGTAATAGAATACTACATACATGCTGCAAATAGCACAGATAAATGGTACAAAATAAAAAGCAAATAGCACAGATAAATAGTACAAAATAAAAAGCAGACATATTCTCAAAGTCCCTCACTGTAGAATCATGTAAATCATGAATTAATCTTTAAAAAATATATACCTATGATGATATATACCTATAGTATGCAAACACATAAAGAAAATTTAATTAACCTAAACAATTAACCTATAGGCAATTGGACGCTGCCAACCGTGGTCACCAACACTAGTGGATCAAAATCGAACACAGCCGATAATTGTGCCGATAAAGAGAGCAAAACATCCTCATTGGCTCTAACCCAAAAGAATATGAATCTCAGGTTCATTCCAGGACAACGAGGAAAATCTTTGCTGTGCTTCAACAATTTCACGTATGCACAAAACAATGTTTGCGGTAATACAACTTATTGGAACTGTCGTAGCCGACGCGTTGGCCAGAAGCCCTGCAAGGCTCGCATCACAACAACAAAACAACCAAACGGTCTGTTCAGGGTGTGTCTAACTAAGCCCGAGCACAATCATGAACCCTCACCTCGTGTGCTGAGAAAGATCGAAAAATCACTTTAAACTTAATTTAATAATAAATTCAATTCAATTCAATAAAACTTATAATGGTGGTTTGTCACACTTAGGTTGTATTATTCTTCCTGTACCTGCTTATAATATAAGAAATAATGTATTTTTTGCCTATTTTATGCACAAATTTGTACTAACACGCTTTTGTTTTTTTTTCCAACTCTTTCCCTTTTTATTTACCAGTAGGCAGTGTTGCTATTTATTCGGCCACATCTCGCGGACGTGTGCAGTTGATCTATGGGGGCCAACCGTTTATCTTTGAGAAAATATTGAAATTGTCCACAGGCGAAGAGAAAAAGTTTTGGCGCTGTAACCAATGGTGGAACCAAAAGTGTCGCTCTCGTGTTTACACAATCAACGATATTGTCATGCCGCTCAATCGTTATCACACTCACGAAGAAATAGTGCGTCGCAAGAAACGTACGCGCAGGATACCGCCTATTATTCCGGCATCTGCAATTAAAAAGGAGAAGAAAGTGTCTGCAGCAGCAGGAGAGAGAGCGAGCACAGTTGAAGTTGGCGTCGAAGCGACAGATCCGATAGATGTGTCTGACTTAGGAATGCATTTAAAATATGAAGAAATTGTGGCCGATGTCACTGAAATAGCCGAGCCAAGTATCATTGTGAAGAAAGATTTGAATAAATAATTTATAAAGTATGTATGAAATTAAGCGATTGCGTCAATATTAACTATTACAATCTTAATTACAACTTTATTATGCTTTTATTTAATTTTCGTGTTGCCGCTTCCTTTTATTTCTTAAAACTGATCTGAAATAATTATTTGAATAAAATCTACAAAGACCATGTAGTAAATAAGAAGTAACTTGCAATTTTTGTTTTCTGGGCGCAAATGTTGGACGTTATGTATATCATTGATATGTATTTTTACTTAACCTAACTAATATGAACCTATGTACTTTGTCATTTTAGTGGAAGTGCCCACAGCTAAAGTAAGCAGTCAACAGTTTTATTTCACGCATGGGCAAAGAAAATCCATTAAGCTCGTCTATGGTGGTTATCAGTATGTTAAGTTCATGGAGAATTCAAAAGGAGTTAAATGGATTTGTTCTACCAGATCGACAACGAAATGCAGGGCACGAGTACGCACCACAAAAAATTCTGAGCTGGAAGTGCTACATGCGAACCACAACCATTCTTTCATTCAAAAGAATTATGCCCGAAAAGTGGATGGGGAAACCAAGCTTAACGCGAAGCCCGACATAAAGCCAACAAATGTCTCCTAATAAAGGTACATAAAGAAGTAAAAAATAGAAATTACTTATTAGAAAGAAAATTAAAGTTATTTCATGATATTGTAATAGTGATAAATAATAATTGGCTATAAAAGATTTAATGAAGTAAGATCTTCAAAGTGTAGGATATTTAACAAAAAAAAAAAAGAAACTTGTTTCAACTATCTGGAAAGTACGTTAACCGATCGAAACGAGACCAAATTAAAGCGTTCCCACGACAGTCGGGTCTACGTAACCGGAACGACCCAGATTTATATCTGGCCAAGGACTGTCACTCCAGCAACACTCCCCAAAATCTCTTTGGGGAATTTGTATGCTGTTACAACAACAACAGACCTAATTAAAGTTGTTTATATTTATTTTTTCAATGATACAAGTTGTCGAGGTATTTACAAAAACGGAAATAACTGATTTTATAAATGAATTTATAAAATATCTACATGCACAGGGGCTGGGATATGGAGCAATTTTGCTAGGCTGACTTCCAAAACGTATCACTACAATGTTTGGTAACTGTTATACTGCGGTATTCAAACTGTTTCTATATGCAGAGTTGCGGCACATTGCAACCATATACATATATACATTGCATATTTTAAATATTCAATATAGCAATGAACAATAACTCTGAATTTTCCATTTTTAAAACAGCAAACGAAGCATCAACTTTGTTTCTGATGCGCTGATTGCTCTAGCGTTGCGTTTCGATAACTTTTCGAATGCGTTTTGGAACAGTATACATTGCCAATATTTTGTAGTTCGATGTTATGTATACTGTGGATGTTATGGAACGTTATACTTTGTATGGAGGCAAAGCAATTGACGTTTTGGAAGTCAGAATTGTGCTTTAATTAAAGTTATACTTCGTGTAGGAGGTTGTGTTTTTTAGGGTAAAGCTAATAAATTGGTTTTCATTACTCCAGTTTAGTGGTGGTTCAATGTAAGCGTTGTTGTTGTTGTTGTAGCAGCATACAAGCCTCTTCGTATGCGACGTAAAATTATATGTTAATACATCAATACGTAATAACAGAAATTGAAGTACAACCTCAGCTACATCCTATGCAAACATTGTAGTGCCAAATATTTATTTAATTTTTTATATCAATATGTTTAATATACCTTGAGTTTTCCAGAACTAAATTCACATAATTCTTAGGATTGCTTGGTTATCAGCTTATGTGGTTATATTTTTAATTCAGTTTCCAACAATAATATTTTACACAATAATAATTAATAACCATGCAAGCGAGAATAACCTCAGTATGTTTTGAGGTTTATTATGAATAAATACAATTTCTCCTAATGAGCTTGATCAAAGCATTCCAAACACATCCACAAGCCACCTGGACACTGTGGGCAATATGTAGTTATTTTATTTAGATCCGGCTGATCACCGGATGCCTTCTTCAGACAATGCACACACTTACCGCGCATGCGTGGCTTACTTATTTTCGTTAGTTTGTGATTATTCCAAGATGTTTTCAAAATAGTTTCGCCTGTTTTCACTTCCGAATACAACGATTTTGTAAAAGGCAGTAGGTGTAGTTGTTCGACTGGAGCCGCTTTCTGTCTTGATTGTTGCTGCTGTTGGCTAGCTAAATCTTCCGATATTACTACCCGAACGCGCCTTTCCAATTTTCGCTTGTTAACTGAAATGCATAAAACTTGATTAGTAATACATATGTAGTACATATTCATATGAGTCAGAGAAAAATATATAATTCAAAATTAAGTAAAATGAAGTTTATTATTATTATTTATTTATTATTATTATTTGCTTAAATAAATGCTATTGAACTAGTAGAAAAAATTAAACATAAGTACTTTATTTTAAGTATTATTTTAATACTATTGGGCTACAAATATTTTGTGGATATTTTGGTGGATGATTGTGTGTGCCCCGCACTGATTCCAAAACTTTGCGACGCGTCTTTAAATTGGCTCGGCAGCGGAATTTGGCATAATCAGAGCAACGCCAATGCACCACGCATGTGCTACCATTTTTCGCATGCACGGAATAAGTATAACCACTGTGGACTAGTTGACCTCGATAATTATACTTCAGCTTCGCAAAACATTCTGCAGTAGCCGCAATGCTGCCTGATGAATCTATAAGGCAATAAATAAGTATTTGAACATGGTTTGATTAGTTTTTTACGTACATATACATACATATGGTCGTTTAAAGCACAAAACCGCGTATCGTCGTTCTGCAAAACCGCGTAACTGACATTTTCTGCCAAAAATTGGATTTGCTCACCGAAGCTCATGGCTCAAGCCATATCCATTCGTCCTCAAATTTACTAGCCAGAAATGCGATTGCTTTATTAAAGAGAGAACAATTTTTGAAATATGAATGTTTTTAATCTCTAAAAATTTATTTACGTAGCCTCACATACGCGGTTTTGCATTATGTTGATACGAGGTTTTGTACTTTAAACGATATGTACATAACACTCTTAACTTTTTTTGTACAAGATAAAAAGTTTTTCTTACGAAAAGAAAATGCAAATTTTCAATACAATATTTCCGGGTAATTTCGAAATCGGTCAAAGACAAATTTTAATTCGTCAATATATTTTGCAGGTATAAAACAAAATGATTTCTAATTTAGTTATGTATATTCGTCACTTGTGCAGTCAATCTAGAAATGGTATCTATATATATCGTATTTTAAAGTACAAAACCGCGTAACTGACCTTGGCTGCCTGAAATATACCCGCCAGAAATGCGATTGCTTTATAAAAAAGATAACCGTTTTGAAATATGAGTGTTTTTACGCTCTAGAAAATAATTTCTACAACTTTACATACGCGGTTTTGCATTTTGCTGATACGCGGTATTGCATTTTGTTGATACGCGGTTTCGCACTTCAAACGACGATATATACCTATGAGTAGTCTGCGCTGGATGAAATTATATCCAAAGTGTTCAGAAAATTAACCTGAGGTGTTACGAATTACATAATTGCAAATAAACAGTTTGTTCTACAGCATCACTTAGCAAAATTTTTTGTAGAGAATTTTCTGCTCTATATTCTCATAATTTTATTTTCTTCATAGGGTTCATATGTATATCATAAATTCTGAGCTTTTTTTTTGCGTTAACTTTCATCCGTTTTTGTTTAATTGATAAAATTAGCGAAAAACCTTGACCTTCTACTTTTTATATGTTGGTTGTTCAGGGTAATTTTCTGAACACTTTGGTATACATAAGTTTCATCCGGCGCCGACCATTTGCGACCGCATATGCCAGATTGAATGTACTATAATCGTAATTTGATGAATTATATCTTATAAAGTTTATGTTGGGCAACAACAAGTACACCATCTTAAATTCTTATTTAAAGGTAAATATTAAATTAATCACAGGTATAACTGCTATTTAAAGCAGCGACTTTGTTCCAGCTTTCGTTGCTCATAAACACACTTGAGTGTGCCCTTCTTACGCCGCTCTCTCACTATGGGATGGTTGTGGTCTTCGTCCACTATTGAAACACGATCACCAGCCGGATTAGTACGCACTCTAGCTCGGCATCTGTAATGTATATATGTACATATATGTATATTTAAGAAAATTCCAAAATACCCACTTCAAGGGGCGAAACTGCACACAGCGCCAATAAATTGTACCGCCACGTATACGGTGTCTAGAATAAGGAAATCCGTCTAAAACCAGTTGATAAGTTCCTTTTAAACTTGAACGATAATTGACTCGATTTTCAACGACATCATAAGTGCATGTTTCATCCAAGTGTTCGTCACCTCCTATATTTGTTGTAATATCTGTAATGTGTCAGTATAGTTTTAAATAATTATGTTTGTAGAAATTTGGATGTGCGATAAATTCAAAATTATGCGATTATTTTATAAATATTAATAATATAATTAATCATAATATAAATATAACATGACCATATGACATTGGTAACATGCAATCATTTCAACAGATTTCTGCCGCTTTATTTGCACAGAAAACTCTTAATTAATAAAGGTATAAGTACCAATCATATTAAAATTAGAAACTCTAATTATTATATTTGTTATTTATCAACGTGTCGAGCAGCTCATCTCCCGGTTCATGTTGTACTCGTAGAGACACCGCTAACGGCCGTCGATTCTGTTTCAGTGCTCCAATGGTTCTGCTTCCGGCGTTGCCAGCGCCGTGTGCAATATTCAGTTCAACCATGCGATTACGCTCAATCATTTTTTCGATTTTTTCAGTATGTGGTGGATGATTGTGCAGTCCTCCAGACTCAGATTTCAGTTTGCCATACTCCAGGACACAACGTGCCCGACATCGTTCCGACTGTATCTTCTTGGAATAATTGTGACAGCGCCAATACTCTTTGCTATTCTTTCGACTGTGGCAGTTGTACATGTAATTACGCAAAACCAGGCACGGTGTAGCCCAGGGACTAACAATAAACATCAAATTTGTGTCTGTAATAAAAGCAATCAAAGAATGATAATATTTAGTTTAAAGGATAAATGGTTTCTAAGTGTTTAAGCGAAGTGTAATTATATTAGTTATACTAATTAGTTGTTAATTATATTAGTTATACTATCTTTTATTATTTATTTTTATGATTATTATTTTTTATTAAGATGCCATTTTTTCATACATGGCGAAAAATATGTACATCTGACTGTGAAAACAGTTGCTTTAACACAGAAACTTTATGTTGTTAAGCGAATTTAGGAATAGGATAAGCATGAGACGTGATATAGTACATAAATTATTTTTATATTTTATTCTTTTAAGCTTCATTGATTTTTTTTTATATGTTCATATGTAAGAGATATTTTATCTTATTGCGGCCATATTGTTGTGGTAGCTCGTACTGCTGGAGTCGGGACGAATAGCTTATACTCCTTGCCACTCTTTTGGGGGCATATCTCAATATTTGAGACACTCATGAAGTCAGCTAGTTTCGGGTCTTCAGGTTTAATTTCAATGTATTCGCCAAGGTCTTCCTCTATATTATACAGTGGCCGTTGACCTATACGTTGCACGTGATCTTCATGACTGTGAGAACGTCGCGCTGCGACCAATATATTCTTTTTTGTAATGACAACTGCTTTGCATCGCAACTTTAGAAAGTCAATGCAACGCCACGTTGTTTGTCCATTGGCCTGGGTAAGTTTTTTGTTGTATATGTAACCATTGTAGACTAGCTGGGCATTCTTTTTTTGGCTCCGTATGAATTTCACCTCCCCATCACCTGTATTGCAATGATAATACAATAATAATGACAATGTAATACATTTTAATTACGTATTCACGAGATTATTGATCAGCAAATATGTGATCAAAGGTAGTGGCTGTAATGACTCTTAAAGGAAAACACGACTAAAGGTTCCAACAGCATTTCAATGCTGCATAATTTATTGTTTTACAAACATTTATATAAGTATACATCTTAACTAATATAAATGGTTAACTATATAACTATGTACATATACCTATTTTAATAAACTTTAAGAAAGCTCTTAATCTTTTAAATGCAAAAAAGTATAAATAGTTGATTGTAACTTAACTGCTTACCACTGGTCCATTTCCCCGTTTTACTACTGAGCAGCTTAAAATTACTAGAAAAAGAAAAAACTTGTAGCTGTTCGGCAGCTTCAAAGTAATAAATATGTATGTATATCTATTAATTATTTGATTAGTTGTTAGGGAATCCTTGGTGGGATATTAATCAGGCAAGTGACGACTGACATATCAACAGCCAGTAATTGTGCGTAGCACGGCGCATTAATCTATTATTTAGTCTATAATTTATTTAAAAGATGTACTTACGTTTTCTTGAATAAAAATAAATATTTGTTCATATACATACATATATGTAGATATACCAATGAAAAGTATGGCACCTTATTCCGATCTACATAAGTGAAAATTCGGACTTCACTTTCTTATAAAGATGCATTTAAAACATATTTTAACTTTTTAAGTTATTGTTAATTGCACGTACCTGTTTTCGTATATAGTATTACAATTAACTCTCTCGATATGAGTACGTGTGCATCCATTGCTGCCTATCTGGGAGCTGTGAATCCATATTATACATATTACACTGCTTTTTAATAAATTCTTTTCTCGCCCATTGTAATAGAATACTACATATATGCTGCATAGCATTTGCACGTAGCATTTGAATATAAAATCATCTCACAATTTTTTAAATAATTACAATTCCACTTAACAAAAAGAATTAACTTTTTCAAAGTAATGACATACGAAAACACAAGCCATTGGTATAAACAGATATGTGTCCAAAAATTAGCATCAGAGCTGCCAAGTTATTGGAATAAATGACCATAGAGTTGCTTTATTTCTGCTATTTATTGATAACTTGGAGGTTACACGTATCAAATGCATGAAAGCAAGTTGCAATGCTCACACTTTTTACTAATAAATAATAGGTGCGTTCGTTTAAAATCTCCAGTAAAAACATCCAACTGCCAAATTCTAGTGAAATGTCATCTGTTTTCTCACAAGAGAAAAATATCCAAACTAGTACGCGAACAGAAAGTTTGCAGAAACTTGCAAGTTAGACGAACAGCTGATATCATTTTTGTTTACATTCAAAAGTGTAAAATTTAAAACGTACGAAAAGTCATCACAAAGTGTTATACTGACACAGTTTATTGATTAAACAAATAACTACTTACTTCTTACAAGTTTAGTTAGTCGCATTTTGTAAATTTTAACTTCCAAACCATCTAACCGCCCTATTCCCACAACACTGACAAAATTCATCATATGACTATTGT